AGTACTGGGGGGTATCTAGATAGGTCAAGACAGAAAAAGCGGTGAAAGCACAACCATTTGGCAGAAAGTTGGTCAAGGGATTGACTTAACTTGCCTCTTTCGCGTTGTAGCTTGGTGCCGAGAATTGTATGACTCATGCAAATGTACCAAGTCCATTACATGACTACAATAGCAGAGAACTTTGGACAAGGTGCGTCTAACTAGGTCAACCTGACAACACAACTAAGTTTCGAAAACGAGGCCAGATTACTAATATACATCTTTTGGAGACTGCGACCAAAATAGAGATCTTGGTCTTCATATCTATGTCTAAGGGCTGCTCTAGTTTCTATCTTTGAGAATAAATATTTTTTTATTCTAACAGGACACAACATACAGAATTTGTCGATGGGAATTGAATTTGTGTGGCCCTGTCAGCTCTTCCAATTCAGATGATACGATATCTTCAAAAATCACCTTCGATTTCCCTTCAAACTATAACTCTGTTTCTAGTTGGCCTACAGGCTCTTGCTTTCTTCCAATGCCTGCAAACGTCGCTGTTTCATACAACACCAATAGTCTAGTTGTGCCTCACGCTAGGCTCTTCAATGACTCATCAATATGCCTTTCTCCTGATGGTCGCCTATTGGCTGCATTCGTTGTTCCTCGAGTTGACATTAATGCCACTGGCACTATTGAGGATTTGCGGAATCCTGATTCGAGGAGGTCCTCTCTCGTCATTGGTGGGTCTTCTGAATCCGAAACTCTCTTAGCAGTATACCGCCTAGAGCCACGAAAGAACCGTGGGGCTTGTCTTTTTTCCCATCGCTTTGCTTCAGTCAGTCCGGTATGCTTAGACTTCAGCCCTTTGGCTGATTATATAGTTGTTGGCTTAGCAACCACTCGACTACCCTGCCTTAACCGTTCACCTACTGGGCATGCAGATATCTCCAACTCTCAACATGCCTCCATGAATTCTAGCCACTCCAAACATTATCGGACTGAATTTACAAAGCCTGGAGACTCCACACCTGCCTCGATGACTTCTGTCGGTAAGGGAATTTATATTGCTAAGTAATTTTCTTATCCTGCTTTATTTAGTTTGTTTAATAAGATTAGTTTTCACCCTTGATTGATCTTTAATCGTGGCTTATTGGCAATTGTAATGAGTTGATTGATCTATTGCAAGATTAGGTGCTAGTCTTTAACAAATTAGCATAATTTACTTTGTGATGGTAGACCTGTAGTAGAGTTTCCCACACTGACATCAGTAGGCCTCCGATTTCCATATGTTATCCACTGGTAGTCTCGGCACATATTTACAAACGATAATAATTAACATAGTTGATTGTAATAGCAAATAAAACTTTGCTTTATCGTCATTCCAACCACAGAAAATGATGTGGAAGAAGTCTATCCTTCCTTGTAATTCACGTTTGCTCTGTTACCTACTGTCGCTTGTGGCAGTGTGGCATAGTGGCTAACGTGTCAAGACTACGCTGTAATTTCTGTGTTTAAATCCAGCTGGGGTGCTGGAACTAAACAATGAAACTACAGTCAGCCCTGGATGAGAACACCTTTTGAGAGGAAAAGCTGTTGAAATTTGATGTAAATGAAAGGGCTAC